CCAAGAAAATTTCTGTCTTTTCCTGGTCGATAAGAATTCAAAGTGGCCTGCGATTATATCCCTCAAGTCTACTAGAATCGGTACTAACAATATCAGCCACTACTCGATATCACAGACCAAATCGTACCAAAAGTTGTTGTCAATTCAATTCCCATTTCTAAACTTTCCGTCTAACTTCAATGGCTAGAAAGAACAAGTTGTTGAATGTATGGAAAGAAAACTCCTGAGTTAACCGGAAGAAGAAAGTGGTAAAGATTCTAAAACAGTTACAATTTATGAATTGAAAGGAGCTCATTTCTGACGTCCGAATCTAGGTGTGACATCGAAAACATTCCCGATCTTGATAACCAATCACATCTTCTGGGCTAAAAACGGTTTCAACAGATATAGGACTGAACGTATGTGACCTCCCTCCAATTTGGAATCTTGAAACTCCGGAGAGAGAGAGAGAGCCAATCACCCGCCCGTGTTGTTAAAGGGTTCATGAATTCGTAGCTATCTTAATATTCGAGTAGGGTTGTAATACATTTGGCGCGTTATAATTGCACTATATTGAATAAAAGGAGAAATCGAGGGGGAAATGACGAGGTCATCGACTCGATCCAGAATTAAAGTGAGATGAGAAATCACCAGCAGGTCAAGCAGCACAAGCACAAAGAATAACCTGTCGAGTAGGACTACCAGGGCTACAAGAATTATGAGAGAATAATATTACTACAACATATCATAAAAACTATTCACCAAGACTTTCTCTTAGAAAAGGAAGATAGCGAAAAGAAGGGATAAAAGTGAAAGGACTCCAACTGGAAAAGGCGACTGATAAGTCAGTAGCTCAGAAGCAGGATCCTCTGTCTAAATGCACCTTCTCAAAAAGAACATCCGTCTAATTGCTAATTCCAATAAGAACCCAAAGGAAAGAAAATATTGCAAGAGGATTCATAAGCAAAAAATCGACAAAGAATAAGATTAAATTTAGCAAAAATGTATTTCAGTATGCAATAAGCTGATACTGGGTACCGTTTTACATATTCACCATTTCATATGTAGTAAAGAAAGTATAAATATGCGAAAAACCTCCATCGAAGAAATAGATACAAAATTAGCTGGTTATTACAATTTCATTAAAATAGCAAGAAAAAAAATTAAGCATATTCCTCAACTTTAGCCAGAAAAGCTGACAATTAAACCAATCAATCCAACCATTGAAAATTTCGTCATTTAAATAAACCGAAAAATGCCCAAAATGCTATGTCGTATAAGAGGAAATCGATACATGAATGCACAAGGGAATTACATTTGAAGAATCAATAGTGAAAAGAGCCTAAAATCAATAGCGAGCCAATGAAGAAACTTTCTCAACAAGCAGGAAAGCGTTAGAAGCACGTAATCAGCGAAGAAGCAAACAACTTTGGAATTTACGTCACTACGCTTACTACAAACGTTGTAATCAGATTATGTTTCACCACAAAGCTAATGATCATCATAGATTAATAGATTACTGGGAAATAAGAGATCGGGTTTATTAAGACACAAGAGCTATGACGCAGCAGTTTGCCACTGTCGCCAAGCGCACATTACCATACATCGAAAAAATATATCAATATTTTTAGCAAAAACAAACAAACTTATACCCAGGCGAAAAGAAAACAAAAAAATATAATTGTCAACTCAACGATTTACGTTGGGAGAGTTCTCTCCTGAAACAAGCTTGGGAATTACTAAAAGTTCTATTTCAAAAGATCAAATAGGTTCTCAGATGAAGTCAGTAAAACCTGCTAAAAAATTAACTAAAGCAAAAAAATTACCAATAAGGATGGAAAGAATCAGATTTGACATTGACAACCCAACCATGTGGAACCGCACGTTTTTGCAACTCAAAGCACATCAATCAATATTTCAAAAGCGGACAATCAGGAAAATAAAGATAAAAATTGTGACAATAAAATCGTGCAGTGAACGAAGAGCAAAAAAACTACTCACAGTAGGACTTGCAAGCTAGAAATGAAATTCATTACCATCGAAAAGGGGAGTTAAATAAAGATATTAGTTAATCAAAAATTGAACAGATCAAAAATGGTAACGTACCTCCCAAAAATCAATAAAGTACACGATGGAGGTACAGACAATATAGAGGCAGTAGAGGACTCCCCAGATTAAAAATACCACAAAGTATTTATAGTTATGGTAACCGACACAGTTGTCGATCCTGAAAATATAAAAATAGAAAATACTGAAAAATCCCATAAAAATACAGCATCAACACTCAAAGTGAAGCGTTATACAAAGAAAGTGTGGGAACGAACAAAATGACATGGCAAATAAATCTGACAGATTTTAGATAAAATTTTAACAAGAAAAAATTAACCTACCAAGGACAATGATGATCCATCTTCAAAAGACAACTAAGATGGAAAAGAAAAATTAAAAGAAAATTTAGAAAATTGATTAATAAAACTGATTATCCAAGCTAGCATGACTTACGTATTACAAGTTGAACAGTGATGACATCTATCAGGTTTAATGAGGCTGCAGGATGGACAAAGTCGAACCATTCCGGCATCATTAGTAGCTTCAATAGGCAGTTTTCGTTCTATTATAAGGGCTTCTAAATATCTATTCTTATCAGCTTCTTCAGTTGCAGCATTAATCTGAATCCAATCTTCCGATGAAAGGAAAAACTAAAGCGAAATAAGAAAATGACCATACAACGAAAGCATGCAAAATGAATTTGGAAAGAAATTGAATTTACCTCAGCGGGAGGTTTAATTGGCTTGGTAAATACGGCTTTCAAGAACGACCACATGAACAGTACGAAGAGAAAATGATAAAAAACCAAAAACAAAACTACAAGCTGAAGTAATTACAATTCCCTTGTACCTTTTTCAACCAGGGTGTATGCATATTCTAATAATAAATATAGCTAATTAAATTATGACTTACGAATACAAAATACAACAACGTATGCATAGTAGGACCAGAGTGTCAGGACGATGATAAAAAGTGCTGGAATAAATCGGCAAAAGGAAAGTACACAACGACAGCAGGGATTTTTTGTCATTTCTGCTCTTTCAAAAACTTCCGAAAAAAACAGTTGTGCAGAGGGTCAGATATGACCTGGCTCAGCATTTACCCAAAAGATGACCTTTAATATCACTTTATTAATACGAAATACATTTGACCATACTATTTTATAAATATATCAACTCCAGGTACTTCTCTGAAACAGATTAAATTTATTTTACTCGCATTTTTTTCATTTCATAAGGGAAAAATTAAATTGTAGAAACGCAATGTAAAAAAGACAGAGATCAGTGATTTGTAAAATTGATATACAAAATATTGAGAAAAAGGCAAGAAAAAGTAAATTTTTACTTCATTTTAACTTTTAGTTTAAAAAAATTCCAGGCAAGTAAAATTTTATTTGACCATTTCTATTTGCATTTTATAAGTTTGTGAAATTCAGATTTCGGAAGTGAGAGTCATAATAACCATATTATCTGATTTTAATTAGTTATAGTGAATATGTAATCCAAAATCCATTGCTAATGGTATACTGTCACATAAAAAACAGTTGACTTTTCAATAGTTACGTATCTCGAAGAGCTCCATTGCTCTTATGGGTAGGTGAAAAATAACTCCTTAATGCTACTGACAGTTACCAACGCCTCCTACATGAATAAAGATACTGAACAGCTATTTGTCCATTTAAGTCAATCACCTTACCTCATTATTCTTACTATGTATTCAAAAACCTTAGTAAACATGGACTCACTTCATAGACAGTGCAGTGTAAGAGCTGAAATTAAATCTCGACACACTCAAAGACCCCTGCAACAAACGTATTGGGATCTAGTGCTCTTAATATTAAAGTATATTTCTGATATTTGTTAAATATTAATAAAATGTTTCTAAAGCTAACAGTTTTTGTAATAATCAATTGTGAAATGATTAAATTTTCTTCATGATAAGTCTATTTTGAACAATGAAAGGAAATGCTAATAGATATTAGTAACCTGTATGATCTAATTGTATAACTCGTTCTTTTTTACACGCATGCTCAGTAATTTACATCTGGATAAGAAATTTATTTTTTATATTAAATGGAAGGCGTTTTGATAGTTATCGTTAGTCCTTAATCTGACTTCGGGCTTCACAGAGTTGAGGAACACCAAAGTGAGAAAATTCGAAAAGGGGAATAAATGAGTGTTTCACAGACGTAAAAGTGACAGAGAGACACAAAGCCGGAAATAAGGTAAGATGGTTATTGTGTAAGGGGTCAAATATGACATACAGTGGGGTGATGGTAGTTTGAAGTGTGAAGTCAACTGCCAGTTAATAGACTTTTTTGGCGTATGAGTATACGTTGCCAGGTGCGGCACGTTTGGATAAGTCTATCGCTCACCCCGGATAATAAACTGATCTTTTTAAAAACCCTTTTATATTATCCAAGCTTGAGCAGCTTCAAAGACATTTCAATGTCAATTTTGGAACAGATAATCAATTTCAATGTAAAATTTACATTGAAATCGTATGATAAATTTTTATGCATTAATATGAGCTAATTCATACTTTGTCTACAATACTGTTGTTTGTTTCAAGGTCAAAATTACCATTGATATTTGGTATTGTTTTTTGCTTGTTCCATAGGTCTGTGTTTGCACGTAGAACAGTTGTTAACTTATCGATTTAAAAAACTGGCATATATTCATTTGTAAACTTAAATTTACTATCGATATCACCTCTTCATGTATAAAAGGTGGCTCGTTTTAGCGAAACGAATGCCGATATCTTACTAAATTTAGTTTGGTAAACTTAATTCCTCATTAAACTCACGAGAACTTGCGTTAATTTAGTGATTTTATGTTTGCAATCTGCTTCAGTTTTGCTTTTTCCTATTTTACTGTTTTTTGCAAATAATGGGTCCTTAATAGCGTGTCTAACTAAAATTCACATCACTTTTACTCCACAACACTACCAATTAAGATATTTTTCTAGTCATAATGTCTAACGATCGCAAGGTTCAAGATTCGCCTGCGAAAACCCTTCGAGACTTATCATCGATCCAAGAGAATAGATTTTGCTTCGACTGCGGCCAAAGATGTCCAACCTACGTAAATATTTCCATAGGGTCCTTCGTGTGTACAGGCTGCGGTGGCGCATTGTAAGATTTATCACTTTTTTCCTTATAACCTTTTCTAGACGAAAGTACAATCAGAGGGTGAAGTCCATTTCAATGTCAAATTTTAACTCACAGGAAGTTAACTTTATGAAACGCAGAGGCAATAAAGCATGTAGTAAGATATACCTAGCTCTCTGCAATGGCGAAGAACCAGATGAACGTGAAAATAACTTTGATGATTACCTTCGCCTTAAGTATCAAGTTCAGAAATGGTTTGTTACAGTTCTGAATTCTGGTCTTGGAGATACGTTCAGTTATATCGAAGTGCGTGTTTTGTTTCTATTCAGGTATCGCAGTCCAGATTCACAGGTAGAAGAAGAGGCACTGAAAGAAAATGAAGAGGCTCTATCTCGGTTATCGCAGAACTCCACTCAGAAGCCAAATCACGTCAGTGTAAATGCAGCAGCAGGTTTGATAATTATGAACAATCGTCCTGCCCACAACCCACTTCCTAAACCAGCTTCTCAAAGTCATTCCACGAGTGAAGCTTCATCTAGTAAAAATCCGGATTATAGCACTACTTCCATTTCAACTGTCTCACCACAACAGCATATACCCTCCCTATTCTCGGTAGGTTCTTATAGGCGGTTCGATTCCTTCTTGTTCATTTATTGCTATTGACCTTGATGCCTTTGATGGTAATGTACAAACTGGCAAAGGCGCATAGAAAGCATTGAGATTTAGAATTTCGATCTGTAATTATTGATTAGGAATTTGGTTAGAGAACCAGCTGATCTCCTCTTCTTAAGCTCCATTGTCGTAGTACTATATTGATGCGGAGGTGGTTTTCGTTTTGTATGGATTGTGTCTATCGTCATCATTTGTCATCCCTCCCTACACTGATATGCATGCTAATTTATTTCGCTCGGAATACATTTTTGCTATAGTTACTCGGCATTCACTTCTAACTTGTTCGGTTTTATAATAGATGCTGGGTCCTATCTAAAGCCCGGGCTAAATTTGTGTTTTCTTGTACATGTATTCACATTAATGTACATACGCAATATCCTGATGATCACTGCGCCAAGACAAAGGCGCACATTTACATATTCTGCGACACGATGTTCATATGCTTTATCTTATACGATAAGTCTTTACTGATTTTATTATTAACTGAATAATTGACTTGTTTTTTTAGAATATGCCTGTTAAGGAGGCAAAGCCTACTCCTGATCCTACTGCAGTCTTTGATCCGTTTGCTGATTTCGTCGCTGCTAGACCAACAAATTCGGTTTTACAGCCCTCTTTCTTTACACAAACTGCTACAACGGCACCGACTCTGAGTTCATCGGACCTCTTTCAACCCGTCCACCCAACGCATTCCTTTCCTGCTCAATCTATTCCATCCGCTTCCAATGACCTATTTTCTACCGCAAATCAACCACCCCAGTCGGCAACAGCTCCATCTTCGTCGTATCTCATAGCCTCTGCCTTCAATCCACCACCACCTGTTTCAGCTGATAAATACGCAGCTTTAGCTGAACTTGACAGAATGGGAAGGTCAACTGCGGCTAAACAGCAACCTTCTGTCCCTACTCCAAACTCCTCGTCGGGGATGTTTTTTGGACCCGTGAACCCAGGTCAAAAGAATCCATTTGGACCTCCAACTTACAATCCATTCCAGACTCCAGCTCCTGATATTGGCAATCCATTCGCTACCATTCAGAAAAATAATGCAACTACTGCCGCCACATCATCCCTGGGGCAGAATTCGTTCAATCCATTCATTGTAAGTCATTTTTATTGCATTTTAACATCAACCGTTGGCTGTAGTTTATAAACACTCTTTCTTCTTATGAGTCACTCACTAGATTTGCATTGTTATGCCACTCAGACAAGCCTTACTTTTCTATTATTCATCGCTCCTGAAGTTTGGGTTATTTGCTAGTACCTATTTATCATTTACATGCTTTCTTTTGGTGTCGTTGTTCGTGGTGCTTTCATCGCCACTTGATTATGTGGCCATCTAGAGAGGTACATTGCGTTTTAAATTACCTCACGAGGGTTGTGAATAAAATTCTGAAATTTGGCTTTATCGAATCTAAAGTTTATTTATATCAAATGGCAGGCGTTTTGATAGTTACCATTTGCCATTTAGTTGACTTCAGGCTTCACAGAAGGGAAGGAACATCAAAGCGAAAAATAGTCGAGAGGGGGGGGGGGAACAGAAGAGTATTTCCAACACATAAAGGAGACACACAAAATTAGAAAAAAGGTGAGATGAATACTGTGGAGGCGGTCGCAAATGACATACAGTGAGGTCATGGTAGTTTGAAGCCAGAAGTCAACTGCCAGTTTATAGACATTTTTGCTGTATGAGTATACGTTGCCCAGGGTGCACCACGTGGAGGTAAGTCTAATGCACACCCCATCGAATCTAAAGTAGTTGCTTTAGAATTTTGNTTTTCCAAGGCTCCCTCAAGTTGGAGACCAGCTAACAGAATTCACTATGAATTTCCAAGCACACAAATGTAGATTTCAACAATATTCACTCCCCCAGGGCTGTGAGGTTGTATGGTTTATTATCAACATTTTTATTACTGAATGCAAAGTGTTAAATCTTAATGAGCGATAGACTTACCTCCACCACGTGGTGCACCTTGGACAACGTATACTCATATGACTTCAGAGTACCATGACCCCACTGTATATGTCAAATTCGACTACTTACACAGTACTCATTTCACCTTTTTTTCTACCTTTGTGTCTGTCACTTTTACATCTTTGTAACACTCTTCTGTTCCCCACCCCCTCTCGACTTTTTTCACTTTGATGTTCCTTCCCCTCTGTGAAGCCTGAAGTCAACTAAAGGACTTATGATAACTATCAAAACGCCTGCCATTTGATATGAATAAATGAATAAATAAATAAATAAATGTCGGAGGGGAATTCGAGGATTCGCAAAGTATACATCCGAAGTTCGTCCGATGATAGATAAATGCTCTCTTCTTTTCAATGAACGTTTGCACGGTAGCATTTTCTCCATTTGAATTTTACTATTATTACCATTACTTCTAATGAACCAGAGAACACGTTGAATGGGTCTGGAGGCATCGAGATCAGAGTTGAATGACGAGTGGGGGGTTTAAATATGACCGTAATGAATTTTGAGAGTCTAAGGACCTTATTTCCACTTATTCAAATACGATATCCAGTCCTCTTTACGCCGGGAAGCATTCAAGGTGTGATTCTACTACAAAGCCTTCACAATCACGGAATAATAAGTGGCTTTTGTATTTTCTCCCATTGCAGTGATTAGTCTATTGCAAAAAAGTGCGCAATTGCAGTGTGGTTCAATCGTCGGTCACTAATTGACCCAATTACAGTAACTCACAATTGCCTCCTTTTAGCGCGCCAACTGAAATGCCTTTCCAATACGAAATTATAAAGTTATTCAACAATTTTCACTATTATTCATCTTAAATTTCAGAGACATTGTACTATGTAGTTTTAATCAATAATGGCAATGAAATTGGTCAGAACAAATTTTTTTTTAATTTTCAGAATGAATTGAAGTTCATGAAATAGAACAAGTTTCTATCATGTGGCGAACTTTCAATATTTTGATTTTGGGGTGTGCGATAGACTTACCTTCACGTGGTGCACCCTGAGCAACGTATACTCATACGGCAAAAAAGTCTATTAACTGGCAGTTGACTTCTCACTTCAAACTACCATCACCTCACCATATGTCATATTCGACTACTTCCATAGTACTCACCTCACCTTTTTTCTACCTTTGTGTCGGTCACATTTACATCTTTGAAACACTCTTCTGTTCCCCACCCCCTCTCGACTTTTTTCAATATGATGTACCTTCCTCTCTGTGAAGCCTGAAGTCAGCTAAATGGCTAATGATAACCATCAAGACGTCTGCCATTTGATATAATAATAATAATAATAACAATAATAATATTTTGATTTTCATTCTTCCGTGGCAATGAAGTCTTCGGTCTAAAACAACAGTAGTTGAATGAGGAGTTAGTTAATACGGGGAGATTGAAGGAAGGATCAGTATTTGCTAAGCATAGTCTACTCTCTATCGTTGATTCTGATTGGGTCATTATAACAAAGGCTGGAGCNCAGAAGAGTATTTCCAACACATAAAGGAGACACACAAAATTAGAAAAAAGGTGAGATGAATACTGTGGAGNATGAAATTGGTCAGAACAAATTTTTTTTTAATTTTCAGAATGAATTGAAGTTCATGAAATAGAACAAGTTTCTATCATGTGGCGAACTTTCAATATTTTGATTTTGGGGTGTGCGATAGACTTACCTTCACGTGGTGCACCCTGAGCAACGTATACTCATACGGCAAAAAAGTCTATTAACTGGCAGTTGACTTCTCACTTCAAACTACCATCACCTCACCATATGTCATATTCGACTACTTCCATAGTACTCACCTCACCTTTTTTCTACCTTTGTGTCGGTCACATTTACATCTTTGAAACACTCTTCTGTTCCCCACCCCCTCTCGACTTTTTTCAATATGATGTACCTTCCTCTCTGTGAAGCCTGAAGTCAGCTAAATGGCTAATGATAACCATCAAGACGTCTGCCATTTGATATAATAATAATAATAATAACAATAATAATATTTTGATTTTCATTCTTCCGTGGCAATGAAGTCTTCGGTCTAAAACAACAGTAGTTGAATGAGGAGTTAGTTAATACGGGGAGATTGAAGGAAGGATCAGTATTTGCTAAGCATAGTCTACTCTCTATCGTTGATTCTGATTGGGTCATTATAACAAAGGCTGGAGCTGGGAATAATGACAATTAATAACAGTGCTCTGTTAACAAACAATGACTGAACCAATTCCCGCTGATTTAAAATTTGAGATTTGATTTAAATGAGAAGACAGTCATTGTTAGCACCTTCAGAGATGCTCTTCTTATCTCTGCCTAACGCAATCCGAAATTTCAATTGAAAGAAACAGGTTTAATCTGATGAACTGACCTTTTTCAATTTGTTTAAGGAAGATATATATTTTTTCTGCTCTTTTGAGCTAAGGAAAACTTTGTCTGTTTTTTCTAAATTCAGAGGCGCATTTGATAAATGTCCACGTAGGTAGGTGGTTTGGGAGATGATTTGTAAACTGCTAAACCAGGAATTAAATTTTCCTTTTAAAGGAATATCTATGTGAAATTGATGCGGCGAAAACTGCTGTAGCACTTCAAGAATGCTATCGATTTTTAAATCTCGAGAATACTTGCTTAAATTAATTTTGATTAAATTTAGTTCGTCTTACCTTAGGGTATATCGAAGTTACGATTTAGACACCTTCACATAGCCTAAGAATGGCGATTGGGGAGGGTGGGAGTTAGTAATTCAATTTTGGAACCAAAATTCATACCCAGCTCCAGTTGCAATTAGAAACTAATTGAAACCAGGCGAAACTTGTAGTATTCAAGAATTTAACTTGTTTACATTTTCTTAATCACATTCAGTTCGACTTATTGTTGTTTACGTTTATAGGATTGGCTGAAAATTCATTCCCATCTTTAAAAACCCAGTGCAGTTCGGCTAGCTGATGCCGCTTTGTTGATTACGCTGGATTTTATGAGAAATTAACCTTTGTGAAGTGAACACAGTATAGAACAGAAAGGGAACAGCATAAACCACTTTCTTGAACCAACTTTATTTTGACGACAGTGTTAATTCAAGTGCCTAAATGTTAACTTTCAATTTACCTCGCCAAAATGTCATCCTTTGATACACTCTCCTTTAAAGGTAAAAATCTTGGGTTCAATAATGATTGTTGCGCACCCAATGGGGGAGGGGAGGGGGGGATGACCAATCACACTTGTCGGGGTTAGATAATGAAACGGACACTGTGAATTGAATTTCACACAAGGCCAACTCCATTGTACTTTTTCAAAATGGGTTTATGAGAGTAAATTCAAACCTAGAATAGAATGCCTCAGCTACAGTCCATGCACTTAGTGTTCATTGGCCCTTTAACACCCGAATTATTTAATCAAAAAATGTACCTACCGCACTCACGTGCGTCTCACATCAGACTGATGCCACCGACGTGATGAGTTTTGGTGGTATCTAGCGAAGGCCGCATAAACACGTATTTAACATTTTTCAAACAACAATAGTACTTTCTGTAACGAGTCCAGTACCAATGGAGCCTATTTTGAAAGAGGACTGGGCGTTAAAGGGTTCAACGCTTGCATTCTGATCTTGCCTCTTTCTTCCCTTACCGTGTACTGACAGTATTCGGCGTTTTTTAAAGGTCTAACCAACTATTCTATCCATCTACGATATTCATAAAACTTATGACATTTTTTCATCAATAGAAAATTTTAACTTACTTATTTCAAGCGTTTAAACTGTTTTTTGGTTAAATTTCCAAATTCCCCCTCCCCCCGTCCCCCAACCCGCTCAAAAAATAGCAATAAATTTCTTTTTTTTTCATGTAAAATATTAATGTAAGTTGTAACAAAATAATTAGATTTATCTTGTTCCTTCTTCTGAATCGCCACTATTTTGCTGCATTTCCCAAGATTTACAATACTTACAGAATATTTAAATAATTAATAGGTCACCTGATTTATTAGCTTTGATAAAATTTCTTTCAATCGGCGTTATAATTCATGAATCCACTTGTATATGTTAATTTAGCTGATTATTTGACGACAGAATTATTTGGTAGACAGAATATTAATACTATGGCAATAAGGATATCCATAACCAAGAATTCTGATTTTGTCATTTTGAGAATAGGGAAGTTCCCTGATTGGCCATCTTCTGAACTCATGCTG